GATCTTCTTTATGCGCCAAGAGCTTGTAACACTCCAAAGAGAAAGGAAAACTTGAAATCGCATCATATGACCCCTTTAAAGGATCTAATACAGGAGCAAAATAAAGAAGTGTCTCATAAGAGGAATGCTGGACATACTCTGTCACACTCAGACTTTCCATTCCTGATGTGACATCTTCATCTTCTTCATCATCATCATCCCTCTCTTCACTGCCATCTCTCTCAAAGGTCACTACATCTGATGAAGTGCTGAACATAAAACACAAACTTCACTGTTGAGAATCAATTAATGTTTCATCAAAAGTGCTGGAGACTTGCTTACTTGGACACTTGGTTTCTTTCTTGGTTTGAAGTCCAGTTGTCAGAACTTGGCCAGCATGTGATGTAACGCACTATGTTTGGGTGATCTAGTCGGGCCAATGCCTTCACCTCAGAATCAGATTTCCTGATTTAAATCAAAATAAAAAAATTCCTTATAAATGAATAAATAAGTAAATGCTTGAATGAATGAAAAAATAAGTTAATTAAAAAAAATACAATTATGAAATAAATAATGAATTAATTAATAAATAAAATAAAATAATGAATAACTGAATAAATGAATAATTGAATGAACGAACAAACAAATAAAAACAATGAATAAATGAAAGAAAATGAATGAATAATTGAATTCATTAATTACATTATTCTCTTTTTATTTATTTTTTTTGCCTCATAATCATGAAAACTGCTATTTTTAATATTAGAAATGACCTTATGACTTGTATAAACTTACCTGGTTAAGATGACCCTCTTCACAGCGTAGATCTTGCCATCATATTTATGTTTTACTTCATAAACGCAGCCAAAGCCTCCTTGACCAAGTTTTGCGATAACATCAAAACTGTGAGACAATCTATAGATGATACATACATGTCAAAAAGCAATAAAATCATTATGCATTATCCTATACACAAAACATTCATACTTTGTTATATCTGAATTACTTAAACAAGATATTTGTGGTGGACACAAAGCTGTCCGGTTCACCGCAGTAAAGATAGTTTGCGGTTTGATATTCAGATTTCTTTTGGCTATAAATACGCAGCGCGCTGTCATAGACATGCAAATAATACCGAATATCATTCTCCATGATTTGTGAATTCAGGTGACGCTGTCCTTCGGGCCGAAATCAGGTTTTTTTTTCGTAGCGTAAAATTTTCCTTAATTTTATGCCTAAAGTTCTTCATGTTTAACGTCTATTACAAATAAACACGCAGACTGCTGGAATACAAAAACATTGTTTTAGGTCGAGCTCGATTTGTGAAAACTTTCACAGTTCACTACAGGTCAGCTGACCCTTCCCTGAGTCATGTACATCACTATTCTGATCTGTGAAAACGTTCACAGTTCACTACAGGTCAGCTGACCCTTCCCTGAGTCATGTACATCACTATTCTGATCTGTGAAAACGTTCACAGTTCACTACAGGTCAGCTGACCCTTCCCTGAGTCATGTACATCACTATTCTGATCTGTGAAAACGTTCACAGTTCACTACAGGTCAGCTGACCCTTCCCTGAGTCATGTACATCACTATTCTGATCTGTGAAAACGTTCACAGTTCACTACAGGTCAGCTGACCCTTCCCTGAGTCATGTACATCACTATTCTGATCTGTGAAAACGTTCACAGTTCACTACAGGTCAGCTGACCCTTCCCTGAGTCATGTACATCACTATTCTGATCTGTGAAAACGTTCACAGTTCACTACAGGTCAGCTGACCCTTCCCTGAGTCATGTACATCACTATTCTGATCTGTGAAAACGTTCACAGTTCACTACAGGTCAGCTGACCCTTCCCTGAGTCATGTACATCACTATTCTGATCTGTGAAAACGTTCACAGTTCACTACAGGTCAGCTGACCCTTCCCTGAGTCATGTACATCACTATTCTGATCTGTGAAAACGTTCACAGTTCACTACAGGTCAGCTGACCCTTCCCTGAGTCATGTACATCACTATTCTGATCTGTGAAAACTTTCACAGTTCACTACGGGTCAGCTGACCTTTCCCTGAGTCAGTAACACAACTATTCTGATCTGTGAAAACTTTCACAGGTCAGTTTGGGTCAACATCACTATTCTGATATGTGAAAACTTTCACAGGTCCGTTTGGGTCAGCTGACCCTTACCTGGGTCATCTACATCACTATTCTTATCAAATTAATTTATGCATATATTTTCAGTCATAACTTATGATTAATGTGTGCTAACAATACATCAGTGCATTTGCGCATAGGACAAAATGTTGAGCACAATTATGTCAACGCACTGACAATTGATCTTCTTCTTCTACATTTTGATCTTTGGACATTTTGATGATTTATGGTGGCCATAAAGAGTCGCTATCCTTTGATGTGTTAAAGTTCTGCCGGCGTTGATTTATGTCACTATGTTTTGTAAAAAAAAATTAAGCTTCTGCAATACAATTTAATTTTGTAATTACATTGAATTTTAAGCTTCTTATAATGCCTTTATATGCATATAATTATATTATTTATACATCTGTATATATACATGTGCATATATTGCTGTAGATTTAATTATTGTTATTGTTATTATTATGTTATAAATTAAAAAGTAATGCTTTACTTTACTAGTTACTTGAAAAAAGTAATCTGATTACGTAACTTGCGTTACTTGTAATGCGTTACCCCCAACACTGTTAATTTTAAGCTTCTATAATACAAAAAAATGATAATTTAATTTAATTTCATGGTTCTTATAATGTCTTTATAATGATACGTATAAGGACATTTTTTAAACATCTGTATAAAAGTATATGCATTTATTGTTGTTTATTTAAATTATATTATTATTTTTATATATTCTATTATTCCGTTTTTCTTTTCTTGATTATTACTATTTTATCCTGCAATGTATCTACAAAAATATAGTATATAAATCAGTCCCTATATCTTTATTATTTTTGCTTATTTAATATTTATTTATTTATTTGCTTAACTACATTTTGTTTTTCTTCTTTCTTCACCCGCTCCCATTTTTATGTATGTATGTATGTATGTAAATAGGTCAAACTCAGGGTGAATCACATACTGAGGATTCACAATATCCTAGGGCATGTGTCTATATTTAGACTCAAAATGCACATACTACTCAGATCTCCCTCGAGAGTACAAATCACACTGAGATCATCATATGGCCTCTATGAGAAGGTTCACTGAATGAAGTTGAAGTTTAACTCTGTTACTAGAACATTGATTGACCCAGATTAAAATAATTTGATAACAATAAAAGAAAAATGGCATGGTGACACAGTTTCCCATTCAGCATGGTACATGTAAGGACCTATTCTGTAAAATGCTTTTAAAATTAAAATTACATTTTAACCAAACTATCTACTTCAATATTTGTCCACTCTTCTTTGCAGAATTGCTCAAGTTCAGTTAAATTTCATGGTTACCATTTGTGGACTGCAGTCTTAAAATCATTCCACAAATTTTCAATGGGATTTCAGTCCTCCAACCACTGTGTGATCAGTTTTGCTGTGTGATTTGGGTCGTTGTCATATTGGAAGGTAAACCTTCTTCCCATAGACAACTTTATGGCGGAGGGCAGCAGATTTTCCTAAAGAATCTGACAGTATTTTTCCCCATCCATTTTTCTTCTATCCTGACAAGTGCTCCAGTCTATGCTGCAGAGAAATCATAGCAGAAAATTACCACCTCAGCTGACCCAAACTGACCTCTGAAAGTTTTCACAGATCAGAAT